TGCACGCTTATTCGCGGATCTTTGTTACTTAAAATCTCGGTAACTATTGCGAATCTATAAAAAATGATATAGGACTTATCGACTCAGTTTTACTCTTTCTACCTGTCTACGAGAGATGTTACACCAATTCTGGGACACCCTGTATAGGGTCTTACGTGCCGATCGCAGGATGTTTGTGCGGAAAAATATGCATGGATATGTATACATATACATGTATGAATATGCATACTTCACAAGTTTTTACAAGTGAATTATTTGAATATATTTCAATTCTTTAAATCATATAGGATGCTAGATTTGCATCTCGTATATGAAGGATCCCGAATACTCTCTCAAACTAATTTAAAATATTACGAAAAAAACTTCTCAGCCAGGAGTCGAACCTAGAATCTCCGGCTTTCCGAGCCGTCGCCTTCCCTGTTTTTTGTAAAGAAAAAACGGTAAATATATAGAAAAGGTCACCCCCTCCGATTTCAATGAGCTTGACATATGTTGTCAAGGACACCTTTCTGAGTAACAATCCGTAAATTTTAGCTGTCGCTCGTTGTTAATAAAAAAGTTATGAACAATTGAAGTTTGAAAACTAAGGCTATATTATGATGCACCTACATATAAATATATATATATTTACACACACATAAATATACAGGGTGAGTCATCTGAATCTATCACCTCCAATAACTCGTTTGTGTGGCCAGGAATCGAAAAAAGTTTCGTATAAAAGTTGTAGGGTTTCGAGGGGAAACCAAAATGGCGTACCTTTCAACTTTTGATTTTGACCGAAAATGGGTTACTTTAACCGGAAGTGGTTTTTTTAAAATGGAAATCCTTTTTTTTGATACCGGAAAATGAAAAAGCGGAAAATTTTACGTTCAGATATAACCTTGGCTGTTTTAAAATTTTCAAGATGGCAAACAAAAATGGCGGACAAAAATTTTAGTCAACCGATTTGCGCCAAATTAAGTTTACGAGGGTTTTTGGGGTTGCTGATCACAAATCTGAAGTCAGATTTGCAACATTTAAAATGGCCAATTCTGGGACACCCTGTATAGGGTCTTACGTGCCGATCGCAGGATGTTTGTGCGGAAAAATATGCATGGATATGTATACATATACATGTATGAATATGCATACTTCACAAGTTTTTACAAGTGAATTATTTGAAGTGATATTTCAATTCTTTAAATCATATAGGATGCTAAATTTGCATCTCGTATATGAAGGATCCCGAATACTCTCTCAAACTAATTTAAAATATTGCGAAAAAAACTTCTAAGCCAGGAGTCGAACCTGGAATCTCCGGCTTTTCGGGCCGTCGCCTTTCCTGTTTTTTGTAAAGAAAAAACTTTATTTTATAATTTTTTAATTATTTTTTATGAGAAATCATGTCGTGTCCGCTTGTATATATTATTTATTTTTACCTTGAATATTAGAGATAAAATGGCCTTGACTTTATTTTATGTAACGTAACACAATCTCACGCATGACGTGTCGCAAAATCCGCAAGTGTTTTTTTATCGTCTCTAATCGTCGATTAACTCTTGACAAACATCTAAGACAACTTTATGGTTTGTTGTACTTCTTTATATTCTTCTCGCTTGTCTAACACAACATAACATTATATAGCTCTCAAATCGAACAATGCACACGATTACTCTCGAAAATTATGAATTTCTACATGTCGTATACTCTTAAGTACATTGCATTCATTAATTTTCGTAAGTGATGTCAAATTTTTTGTGTTATTTAAAATAATAAATGATAAATGATAAATGATAAATAATATAAATGATATAAATAATGTATGCGAATAAGCATGCATCGGGCTGTCTTAAGCCTGTTCTACATTGATCGCAAGCGCAAACGCAAGAAACAGATCTGGTAGAATTGACTAATCGTATTGATCAAATCAGCCAATTGACCAGCGTGATTGGTTAATTCTACGAGATCTATTCCTTGTGTTTGCGCTTGCGATCAATGTAGAACAGGCTTTACGCGCGTAAGACTGCCCGCCGCGCTTTGCGCGCTAACGGTGTTACTCATAGCAACATATGGGAGGAGCTAATATAACAGTATATATTATAACATATACATTTTAAAATGTAATTGTGTGAAGCGCGCCGGGCTGTCCTACGAGCGTAAGACAGCCCGAAGCACGCTTATTCGCGGATCTTTGTTAATTAAAATCTCGGTAACTATTGTGAATCTAGCAAAATGATATAGGACTTTTCACCTCAGTTTTATTCCTTCTACCTGTCTACGAGAGATGTTAAACCAATTCTGGGACACCCTGTATATGTATATAATATGTATATATAAATGTATATGTAGCGTCACAGCCCGTAGTCCCGTCAATTTTAGAATTGACTAGTCAATATCCGAAGCAAATGTTTTATATTAAACACGTAATCTCTGATTACGCGTTACGCGTTAAGAGCCGTCTACAATGGAGAGTTGTAGGCCGTAATAGTAAGAAATTGACCAATTACAGACAAAGTACAGAAGAATAATCGATTGTGATTTGTCAATTTCTTACTGTTACGGTCTAAAACTCTCCATTGTAGACGGCTCTTTACGCAAAAAATAACAGTGCATGGGATCACATCCTAATTCTTTCATGTTTTTTATGTTGGTGTTGTAAACGTGTAAGCAGGGCTGCGCCCCCCCTGCACTCCCACTAAAATCTAACCTAATCTAACCTCTGTTACTACAATATCAATAGAAATGAGTGAAAATTTTGCAAGGGGGAGTGCAGAAAATAAAGTTTAGGTTAGGGTTAGGTTAGATTTTAGGGGGGTGCAGGGGGGCGCAGCTCCCCTGCCTACATGTTTACAACACCGACAAAAAGATCATGAAAGAATTAGTCTTGTTTTAATACTACTCTATCCTATTGAGTCTGATTGACACATTCTCGGGCTTTGACGCTAACATATACATACGTACATACATAATTACAAATTGTAAATGTTTCCAAATTTTCAGTTACTAGCTCAATGGTTGGATAAAGATAATGCTATGTTAGGCGGGTCCGGAAAAATTATCGAAATCGATGAAGCAATTCATGATCGACTTCAATTCACAATCGATTAGGCCTTATGCCTTAGGCCTGTTCTACAATACTGTCGTAAGCTGTAAGTCGTAAGAAATTGACCAATCACAGATAAATCACAGAAGAATAATCGATTGTAATTGGTTAATTTCTTACGACTTACGGCTTACGACTGTATTGTAAAGAATCGTCTACAATGGAGAGTTTTAGACCGTAACAGTAAGAAATTGACAAATCACAATTGATTATTCTTCTGTACTTTGTCTGTGATTTGTCAATTTCTTACTGTTACGGCCTACAACTCTCCAGTGTAGACGGCTCAAAACAGGCCTAAAGGGTCGTCTACAATGGAGAGTTTTAGACCGTAACAGTAAGAAATTGACAAATCACAATCGATTATTCTTCTGTACTTAGTCTGTGATTGGTCAATTTCTTACTATTACGGCCTACAACTCTCCATTGTAGACGGCCCTTTAAAGAGACGGTATTCCCTAGGAGTAAGTACTGCCAATGAGCGCCGCACTAAGGCCTGGTTTATGCGGGCAATAACTGTTAACTTATGCCGGAACCGGTAGAGTTTAACTATAGGATTTCAATGCTTCTGTTTATACAAAATTGCCGAATGCGTATAAACAAAAGTATTGAAATCCTATAGTTAAACTCTACCGGTTCCGGCATAAGTTAGCAGTTATTGCCCGTATAAACCAGGCCTAACTAAGTGTAGCAGATTTCGATGAATTGACCAATTACAGTATTTACTGCTAGGGAATATCGTCCCTCTTACCCCTAGCTCCCCGCGTCGACGAAACGATTCATGGCTGATTTCTTCATCCTCTCGATAGCTATCCTCTAGATAAATTTCTCTGCGAACCAATAAGGAGAACCAATTTTGGGAGATATCTTCTAGATAAAGTTATCGAAAACTTATCTAGAAGTGAAAAAATTGGCTGTAAAGCTGCTTTCCTTTTAGGAGACACAGTCGACACAAATCGACACAAGAGTCATTCTGTCTTTGTTTCTCACTGAATATTAAACGAAGACAGAATGACTTTTGTGTCGACTTGTGTCGACTGTCTCCTAAAAGGAAAGCAGCCACTATTCCCTCGCATTGTGCAAGAGGCTTTATACATCATTATTTTATTATATTATATATTACATGCATTTTTGACATGCATTATATGTATGTCATGTAAGTATTGTTTTTTTTGACAAAACTGATGTTAAACATGAGATGAGATGTGTACAGAGGAGTGAACCATATTGTGCGGTTCCAAGGAAAGTATTTATCGGAAATTTCTTTTCGGACTATCCCTATATTACCGCGCACCGTTTTCAGTCGATCTTGGACCGCTGGCAAAAATCAAAGGAGAAAAGTGCGCGGTAATATAGGAGCAGAGAGAAACCTGAAGCCTCTTGCACAATGGACGGAATAGCGATAGCGATAGAAATAACTAAAGTTTTAAAGAGTTTATATTTAAAAATAAAGGTAGGAACAGCGGAATCTAATATACAAAACTACACATGTATCAATGCAGATCAGAAAATCGGAATAAGCAATAGCGATAAAATTTCCGATGAGTTGGAATTCTGTGTTAAAAACTGTGTTATTTCTATCGCTATCGCTATTCCTTCCATTGTGCAAGGGGCTTGAGAGCGGCCATCCTATTGTAATTTTTTACGACGGTTTCAACCGCTGGTTTTAGCCGTATTTCCGCAAAAGTGGAACTCAAAGGCCGTTCTACATTAAACGCAAGTCGCAGATTTCGTGGAATTGACCAATTGCAGAGTCAAATCAGCCAATCGACCAACGTGATTGATCAGTTCCACGAGACCTGCNACTTGAGTTTCATGGAGAACGGCCTTTGAGTTCCACTTTTGTGGAAATACGGCTAAAACCAGCGGTTGAAACCGTCGTAAAAAATTACAATAGGATGGCCGCTCTCAGGTTTCTTTCTGATAGGAGCAGCCAGAAGAGAAATTTCCGTGAAATATTTCCCTTGGAGCCACACGCCGCACGATATGGTGCACTTATCTGTACGCGGATGCACTGGTAAAGCAGTTTTATTTGCTTTGTTGCTCTATTACAAAATACTTGGTCGCATAATAAGTTTACTAATGCAAATATATTGTTCAAATTGTAGCCAAAATATACGAGCATCGTATAAAAGTCGGCTAACATCGCAGGATAACATCGCCTGGCTTAGTTTATTGCAAGATTACGCGAGGTTAGCTTATTTTAAGGTTGAAAATGCTTGTCATTTTTATTTTTCCTTTTTTTCTGTTTTTTCTAAAAAAAGAAAAACAGAACTCATTTTTTATATCAGATTGACAAAAATTACGAAAAACTTATTACATTAAAATTTGCAAAGTTACACTTAAAATAAAATTTATATTTTTAAGTTTCGCTTTGTTTTTGTGTAAATGCTTTATTATTGTTTTGAATGAGTAATATTGTTTCTTCTGCAACATGAACAACGATCCGGGTATTGTGTGTTTTCGTCATTGTTTAACAAAGAATATAATTTGCAAGCACGTTCCAATCGTATGTCCGGTGTGTTCGTTGCAAATTGAAGGTTTTATTGTCGATCCATTTCGCGTTCCATATCCGTTTGCAAATGCCAGTCACAATCCAACTAGTGTTGCTATTCGACCTTCTCAAGGCAATTTTCTTGATGATTATGACATAACGTGTCATGATTTGCACATTGGAGTAGTCGACTCCGAAGGAAGAATCATTGAATTCGACAAAAATGGATTGATAATGAACGATGTGATGAAATGGACCGACTGCATTGTATTCAAAGTTGTGCCAGATGCCTGGATATCTCAATGGGATAAAACATTGTCTGACACATCAAAAGATCTCAAGTGGCAGTCCGTTAACTACAATGAAAACAAACTGAATTGTTTTGATTTTGTTCTGGAGTTTATTAATAATTTAGAGTATAAAGATTTAAAATTTGTTACAAAAGAGAATCTGTGCGAGCAATTAATATTGCCAAAACTTCAAATTGTAAGCAGATACACTTTGATGTATAGAGCTTTGAAAGATCAAGAATATTTTATTGCAGATTATCATATTTGATAAAAATTTATTTTTGTCATTCATGAATAACAAGTGTTATCTGTAATCTATGCAATAAATGTTAATTTTGTATGTATTTGCGTTTTAGTTTTAATCCTCTTGTGTTAAATGTCTGGATTTTTTGTAGAAAAAAACAATAACAGAAAAAGATTGTAATTTACGCATGGTATAATAAAAGTAGTATAAAATATTTTTTTTTTGAATTTATAGAATAAGAGAAAAATAACTTAAATAAGTATAAATCAATATTTGTTGGAAAGTACTTAATTAAAATACTGAATTAAAAATTCAAAATATTTGCTTTCTATCACATATAACATTTTTTATCTAGTACATATTTTCTTGTAACTTTGCAGAATAAAATAAGAGATACATAACTGACAAAGACAAAATGATTCTTACAAGGATCAAAGTGCCTTTTTTGAGAGTAGATTACACTAAGCAAAAACATTTCAATAATCTGCGATTATTGAAACGGTTAATCTCAAATGACAAAGAAAAGAAATTTGATGTGATTGTTGTTGGTGGTGGTCATGCCGGAACCGAAGCATCTGCTGCTGCTGTTAGGATGGGTGCAAAGACACTGTTGGTTACTCAGAAAAAAAATACTATAGGTGTGTATTTGTTAAAATTATTTGAGTACATTTTATTGCTCCATATAAAAAGTTTTCTTAATGAAATAATGGAAATATTTAACATATTCTACTTTACATATCTTATTTTACATATAGAAAGAAGTAATTTCTTTTTCTGTTCTAATACATTAGAACAGAAAAAGAAGAAAAGATGAATATTGTCCACAAAAGTTAATATTTGACACAAAATACTGAAAATGTTTTTATTTTCTTATCAATACTTGTTAAGTTTATCACTTTTAAGTGATAGAAAATTGTAAATATATAAACTGTTACATACACACACAAAATCTGTTTGAATATAAATATACTTACAGGAGAAATGTCATGTAATCCTTCGTTTGGTGGAATTGGAAAAGGTCATTTGATGAGAGAGGTGGATGCTTTAGATGGAGTTTGTTGTCGAATATGCGATATTTCTGGAATACACTATAAAGTTTTAAATGTAAGAAAGGGACCGGCGGTATGGGGTCTAAGAGCTCAAATTGATCGAACACTTTATAAGAAACACCTTCAAGCAGAGCTCTTCAATATGCCTGGATTACATATCTATGAATCCTCTGTAGAAGATCTGATTTTAATACATGAGCCATTATCTTGCTGTGGAGTAATTCTTAGTACGTTTTCTTAATTTTATAATAAAATGAGACAACATTAAAAAAGACCAAAAGAATAAAAAAAAAAAAAATGCTTGATCTGTTATTAAACTCATTTAAAATTAATTTCAGTATATAAAATTTTATTAGAAAAAGAATTATATTTTTCATAGACTTATAGCACAATAATATGCATGTGTATATTATATATAATTTTATATATATAATTATCATTATCATATTTTCTTGAAGAGGATGGAACAAAGATATTCAGTGATGCGGTAGTTATAACTACAGGGACGTTCTTGAAAGGTCAAATTATTATAGGTTTGGAAAAGAAGCCTGCAGGTAGAATGGGCGACGAGCCTAGTATTGGTTTAGCAAATACATTGGATAAGCTTGGTTTTCGAATAGGAAGATTGAAAACTGGTAAAATTCAATAATAAAAATTTTTACTGTATTATTTATTAGTAAGTTTTATTAACTTATACAACCTTCAAAATTTGTTATATAATTTATTTACGATGTGTTGTTTTATTTTTTGGCACGAAATGGGTTTTTGATGTTGCATACATTGATTGCAATTAAGTGTGATTACACAATTATGTGATTTTAGGAACACCTCCAAGACTAGAAAAAGAAAGCATCGACTTTACCAAGTGTACGGAAAGTCCGCCGGACAGTTCTCCTGTACCGTTCTCGTTTATGAACGATAACGTGTGGCTACCACCAGAGAAACAAGTACCTACGTACTTGACATACACAAACGAGAATGTCGCAAAAATCGTAAACAATAATATGCATTGCAATTTACACGTCACAGAGGAAATAACAGGTCCGCGATATTGTCCGAGCATAGAGAGCAAGATTCTGCGCTTCAAAACTTCTCAGCATCAAATCTGGCTGGAACCGGAAGGCTTAGATTCTCCGTTAATTTATCCGGCCGGATTATCGTGCACTCTGCCGGAAGATAAGCAAGTGGAACTTGTCAAATGTATTCCAGGATTGGAAAACGCTCGATTAGGTAATATTGTTAATTGAATAATAACGTTTCGCGCTCGTTGTATGTTTCAATAAAAAGATAGGGAGAAGGCAATAACGAGCCACACCTGATGATTCACTATGGGATCTTCTTCAGTGTTTTTCTACATAAAAAAATTACAAAGAATACATGATCTATTCGCGACGATAAGAAAGAATATGTATACGGAAAAGATACGCTACAAACATATTCAGTTCGAGGAAAAGAAAGGGGGAAGTGGCAACTAAAAGGTAACCGTCAGTATTACGTAAGATGACGCGAAACGTTCTCCCGCTTCGGATACAACCTACTGTGTCGATCTGTCCTCGGATTAAAGAAGAATTTTATCCGAACGTCAGATATCGTTATTGCCTTCTCCTTATCTTTTTATTGTTAATTGAATTTGCATAATTTTAATAGTTATTTCAAAACTATCACATGTGTATTCGTCTGTGAGTTTTTTTTTTCTTATTTTAACACGCATTTTAAGACGCAATTTCTCTGAAATATTGAAAAGAATTTCGCATTCTTACAAACTTTTTACTTTATACACATATTTGGTTGCTCTAATGTTTTATTACTACCATAATTCTGTACTATGAAAGCTTTTCTTTTAAATCGCACATATTTATTTATATTTACTCTATTCTACTCTAGTGAAACCCGGCTACGGCGTCGAATACGATTACGTAGATCCCAGAGAATTGACCTCGCAATTGGAAACTAAAAAGATTCCAGGACTATTTCTCGCTGGACAAATAAACGGTACCACTGGTTACGAAGAGGCTGCTGCTCAAGGTATTGTTGCAGGTGTCAACGCGGCTGCTAAGGTAATTCATTATATTAAGAGCATCAAAACGAGCTGACATTGTGATGTACAAAAAAAAATGCTTTTTATATTAAAAAAAAAATTAAATTTAAAAATATTTTCTACAATAGATTATCCTAAAAGAGAAACAAATTTATTTCTAAAAATCATACAAGTACAAATATAACGAGTATAATTTACTACAGTTCCATTTCTATAAATGATTTTTAGTTTTCATGTTTGTAGATCCGCTGAAAATCAAAAAATCATTAGTATATCCAAAAACGTTCTGAATTATAAACTAATTTGCACGCTTAATATATATTTAGGTGTTTAAAAAACCGCCGCTTTTAATAAGTCGAACAGAGGGTTACATCGGCGTTCTCATTGACGATCTGACAACAGAGGGTACTACAGAACCGTATAGAATGTTTACCAGCAGATCAGAGTTTCGAGTTAGCTTGCGTCCCGATAACGCCGATCAGAGATTGACAGAGAAGGGCTACGAGATAGGTTGCGTTTCCGAAGAAAGAATACGCAAGATGAGGCACATTTTTTGTAAAATGCAGGAGGCTATTCAAATACTTAAAAATGAAAGTCTGCCGAATCACGTATGGCGAAAAATGTTTGATTTGAAGATTTCGAAGAACAAAGAACGCAAGTCGGCTTTTGAGATGCTGTCTTTGACGACCGACAAAATCACGTTTGCGCAATTAGCGGAGAAATTACCGCACTTATTAGGTTACCTGGACAAAGATCCCAATCTAGCGAGAAGAGTGGAGGTTAGTGTGTATTGATTGTTAAGATAATATTTCATACTTCGAGAAAAAAATTTTAAGATTAAAACAAGATGTTTTTTTTTTACAACCAAATTTTTAACTTATGATAGCGACGATTTGATTTTCAGATAGAGGCAAAATATTCTCACGTTGTAGCGGATCAACAGCATCAAGTAGAGGACATTAGAAAGAACGAGCAAATGATTATACCTTTTGACATTGATTACAACAGGTGAACCGGATTATTTAGTTTGTCATATGATTTTGCGATTGCAAAAAAAAAACTGCTTGACAAAATTATAAATGTTTGTTTGATCTTTTTTTTTTGATTGTAGTTCTGAATTAAATATCTCTGTTGAAGACCGAGAGAAGCTTACGAAACATCATCCAAACACGGTAAATCTTTTCGATATTTTTGTTATTTTAAAACTCAATTATGTAATGCTGGTCGACGGTGTGCGTAAGCTATATTAAAATTTATTTAATATAGCTATTTATACACTCTGTTCGGCAAGATAATATCATCGGTCTTTGCGCATTAAGGAAAGCGAAGCAAACAAGGTAGAGAGAGCGCGGGGACTTGTTGAGAAGATGCTGAGCTCTAGTTCGTCCGCCGCTCGGTCTCTACACTGTCACGTAGGGGAGACTGGGGCTGGTTGTGACACGGGTAAAAAGTTACAACCTTAAATTAGCGATGACAAATAATTGCAACAACGATGATGTTACTGACGCGTGTGACGCGTGACAGTTGTCGCGTTTGTCTCTTTTTAGCATTAATGTAGCACTTATTTTTCATCACTAATCAAAGCTTGTAACTTTTTACCCGTGTCACAATCAGCCCCAGTCTCCCCTACATAGCGCCTTCTAGTCGAACCGAGATAAGAATAGATAACGTGATAGAGACAAAGATAGACATATGTGTCTCTTCGGCGGTTTTGCTAAACCTGCACTAATCTTATTGTCACATTTTCTCTTTTTACGAAAGCTTCAAAATCATTTTTTAAAACACTCAACCTATTCGTTTACGTCACTAGAATGGCATGAAAAAGTTTTGTTGTGATTTGTATTATTAATTTTATACAAAGTATACAGAATGAACATGTTGTCTACGTGGTAACAGTCCATAAACTTTTTTTGATTTTTTTCCAGGCCATTTTTTAACATATTCTTTTTTATTCTGGAAAAGCGTTTTTTTATTCTGATCAATGAACGAAGAATAAGTTGTGCAAAAAGAAACGTTGGTAAAATAGATCGGTTTTTTAAGAAGATGCTGAATTGTTCTGTTTTATGAAACATTTCTTTTTGCACAATTTATTCTGCATTTATTGATCGGAATGAAAAATGCTTCTTCAGAATAAAAGAAAATATGCTAAAAAATGGTCTGGAAAAAAAATGAAAAAACAAAAGTTTATTAGACTGTTACGTAGACAACATTTTCACTGTGTACAAAATTGGCAATATAAATCACAACTTGTTCGAGCCATTCTAGGGACATAAAGAAATATTTTGAGTGTGTTAAAAAAGGATGTTGAAGCTTCTAAGAAGAGGAAATGTGACAATAAGATTAGTGCAGTTTAGTATTTACAGAAAACTGCCAGAGAGACACTTACGTCTATCTTTGTCTCGGTCTGAGTAGAGGGCGCTACCTACTGGACAGTGTAGCGACTGAATCAAAGTTCGGCCATCGCTTCAGCATGCTCTTAAGAGCTAATGACAGCCACACCAGAGACGCCAGATTCTGTGCTTTGGTAGCATGCGGTAGCATTGGAGAAGAGATACGTACCGTATACTTACACTGTGTGCGCATCCCTTCCAACACTACCGCATGCTACTAAGCACAGAATCTGGCATCTCTGAGCTGCACAAGCAGTATAGTACTGTGAAGTGAGGAAGGCTTTATGATAGGATAACGCTGGATATGCGCAAAACGGACGAGTTTTCAAACGCTTCGATGATATTTTCTCGCTTTATTGCGTTCAATTTAAGAAGAGAATTTTACTGCGTATAGGAGAAGAAAAGCGGACACAGTGGATTTGCGGAACACTTGCTGATATCCAATGCCTGTGAGAAGACTTTCTAGTAGGGCACTTCGAGGTGCACGAAACGAACCAGTTTTCGTCTTTCCGATTTTCTCTTCTCAAATTGAACGCAGTATAGACAGAATATAGCTTCATATTAAGAGAATGTAGCAGAATATAGCTTCATATTAAGACTGCGTTCGGGGAGCACGCTATCATCGCTATTGCGTTATTCTATCTTTGTTTTACATCTAATGAGCAATAAAGATCGAATGATGCAACAGCGCTGATAGCGCGCTGTCCGAACGCAGCCTTAAATCTTTGTAGTAACAAAAAATATCTATTTTGCAGATTGCGGCGGCCAATAAGATTTCAGGTGTGACTCCTTCAGCTATATTTAAATTATATTATTATATTAAACATTATTCCAACAAAGATAGTACAAGGTTACATACGTAATATAGTGATAACAATTAAATAAATTTACTTTTGTAATATATATAAATGTAACATATAAAATAAATGTATTTCTAACATTTTTGATGAGATATTATAAAACTTGACAAACTTTATTGACAAAAGAGGGGCGACACTTTAGTTTGCGGCTTTAGCATTGTCTCCGCACCTGAGCGCGCGAATTTCAGACGATCTGATTTGTTGAATCTTTGAATGCTTCTAACTAAAAAAATATTATAATCTCGACATTTTTATATTAAGATTTTTGTCTTAGAATGATCTCGAGAAAAAGAAAGTACGGTAGTTGCGGGACACCCTGTGTATTTTATAACATTTTATAATAATAATAAAAAAATAATCAAAACTTTTAATTTTTTTTTCTTTTATAGAATAAAGCAGTTCTCAGTGATTTCCGCGTACTCTTGTGTGTGTAACTACAAACTATGTATTTTACTTAAGTTTTTTACTTTTCGCACGAAAAAAATCATATTTTTATAGATAACAGCGCTTCTGGGAAACATTTTAATAAATTATACTGACAGTTTCAATTGTCTTCTAGATAAATCGAGGAAGAAGACTTATTTCAAAACAACATAAAGAACAATAAGGAGCTCTCAAAAATGCGTTTCACAAATATTTGATTTGTGAAATATTTACAAAAATGTGATCCTGTATACTTCCAACACACTCTATTCATTTACACTAAATTTCTAGACTAATTTCTAAGAACTCTATTCTTTATATTATCCCGCGTTCGAGACGCAGTTTGTTTTCTACGTCTATCCAGCACGTCAAATTGAAAAGTAGCGACCTCTGTTGTTATTTATCTCATCATTTTCAGCATGCCATGATATCAGTTTGCTAGCGTACCAACGCGTGGCATCGCTAAACAGCACTGTACCAACAGTAATTGTTCACATTGCATGTGCTTTCACGGCGTGCTGACATGCAATGTTTGCTAGGTACACTACTACATACACCATCTGAAGATAAACTTAAGATGATCCTATATAAGATTTATACATATAAATTATGTAATTTATAATTTAAATATATAAATATA